TTAGCATGTGATAAAGTCATCATAATAGTAGGCACACTGCTCTGAGAGGCATGCATAACTTCTCCAACTCATCAGGCTTGTCAGAAGGGGGGGCCTCAGAAGGTTGCAGGGGGTAGATAGCTACTTGGAAAGATTTGGATGAGGAGTTCCGGTAATTTGAAACTGGAGTAATCACGGTTGTTTGCCTGTGATGAAAAGCTTTACAGTTGAAATCCAGGCATGTGTTTTTTCACAGAAGGGCGGTTTGAAATCAGCCTGGAAAGGAGAGGAAGGACAGCTGTGACTAACACTTCAGAAAAACATTAAAGTTGAGGTAAGCTTTTATTGCACACCAGAGGCTCTTGATACCGAATAACAAGTTAATCTCTGAGGTAAATCTGACTGTTGTGCTAATCTGAAAATATTTCCCTAAAAATATTTGCCTGAATTATTGTGGTTACTAGAATGAGACGGGGATGATGGCTAGATTAGTGTTCTTCTTCCTTTTGTGGTGTGGGGGTTAAGGCCCCTCAAATTTGAAATCATCCCCTTCCAGACACAGGAAAGAACTAATGAACTTGTGTGTCTGTTTACCGACAAACAAGGAAGGATAGATGGATATGAGCAGGCAGGGAAAGGCAACCGTCCAGCTACTGTATTGCTGTTGCATTATAATCAACAGAAGAACCTTTATGATGACTTCATGTTTCGTTGATTTTAGAGCAACACTTGATTGTCTTGCATATAAGTCTTAACATTACATACTGCTAAAGGAATCACACATTTTTGGCTGCTTAAAGAAAGCAAATGCATAGTTTGAGGTGGCTCAAATAAGGGCTGCATGCATGTTTGAAACAGATGAACACGAGGTGAAAACTGTTCACTTCTAAACTCACTAATAATCCAAATGGAAAGTAAACAATAATAAGAACATGCCTAAACTAATCAGATTGGAGGTTAAAGTGGTAGCTGATAGTAATAAATGAATAGTGTTAAAAGGAACAGCGTTGGGTCTAATAGCCTGGTTGATGGACTTTTTAACTGAAAGACCACAACATGTGAGGGTCAACTGTGTTTTGTCAGACACTCTTGTCTCCTCCACTGGATCACCGCAGGGCTGTGTCCTTTCACCCCTACTGTTTGTCTTTTATACAAATGAGTGCTGTAGTCAACATGTGGGGTGTCACATCCTGAAATTTACAGAAGACTCAGTAATTGTGTCCTTGCCAAGCGGTGACGACCCTGCCCATGGTCATGTTATCAAGGAATTCACAGACTGGTGCTCCGCATCCTTTATGCCCATCAATGTGACCAAAACCAAAGAAATGCTGATTGATTTACATAAACATTCATCAGCTATCCCTCCTCTTGCCATTGAGGGCCAAGTTGTGGAATTAGTCCACAATTACAAATACCTCGGCACAAACATTGATGATGAGCTGTCCTTCGACTTCCATGTTGATGCTATCTGCAAGAAGGCACATCGTTTGTACTTTTTCAGGAAACTGCAGAGTTTAAATGTTGACAGCACTTTTATGAAAATGTTTTATTCCTGTTTTATTGAGTCTGTTTTAACTTTCTCTTTTATTTGCTGGTATGGCCTACTCTCCTTAAAAACAAGAACAGACAGTCTGGTATTGTGAAAATGTGCAGAAAAATTGCTGTCGTTAACCTCAGGGATCTCACCGACACTTTTAAGCTTAGAACACTAAGCAAGGCCCGCTCACTCCTCACTGATCAGGGCCACCCCATGGCTGCTGAGTTTGTGCTGCTCCTGTCAGGCCGACGGTACGTCCTGCCAAGATGTAGGACAAACAGACTGAAGAACTCTCTTATCCCTGCTGCCATAGGTCTTTTAAACAAGTGATTGTTTTTATTCTCTCTGTTTTATCGTTTTTTTTATTTATATATTGTTGTGCTAGTTGTCTTATGTCTGTTTGTGGCACTGCTGGCTGTAAAGTGATTTGCCCCACGGGGACAATAAAGATTCCTAAAGATTCCTAAAAGGTAACTGTAGCAATATTGTTATTTTCACTACTGTAATGTAATCATTACATTTCAGATTTGATAACATTACAATTATAGAAACATATGAAAGACTCATGTCTCATAACTTTCTGTTAGTGACTGATGACCACACAAGATAAACAGATTAAGCTTATTCATACGGAAGCCATCTTCTTGTGATATTCTCAGGATGAGATGGTGAGTACTGATATCAAGTCATACTACTGTGTTCCAGGTAATGGTATAAAAGCAATAGCCCATACATACTACTTTAAGGCTGCTTAAATCCAGGATCTGTGAAATGACCACACTGTCCATTGTCAAGATTAACTGGCTGATTCAAATCTCAGGAAACATCTCACCAAACCAGCTAGCTGCCAGAGAGCCTGGGGCTGCTAACACAATGACCCAGGTGCTGCTTGTGTTAGCTCAGCAGACCAAAGAGGATCTGCTACATCCAAACAGCCATAGTTCGATTTTGAATCACTTCCAGCTCCACAGTCTGTGAGCGGGGGAGGACTAAACAGACTAAATGTAAGGTATGTTGTTGAAGACAGACTTTTCATATTGTTTTGTGCTGTTATGACACTTGTGATTGTTGGCAAAATGCTACTGAGAAAATAGAAATACAGCATCATTGTCTTTGTTGATTCTGGTGCCATCTGTGGACAAAGGGGTAACCCTTTCATAAATGAATTGTTTTGCTTGCTTGATTTGTTGTTGCACATCATGGAGAACCATCATTGTTCATCTCAGTTGTTTTACAATCCATGAAAAACTCCTCACAGGAGCTTAAATAAGACAACTGAAACAATCAGAAGGAAAGATAAAGTTACTTTCCCAAGTATTTGAAATACACTGACTCAGTTGGTGTAACTAAGTCAGTATATTTACATGTATAAAAAGTTAATTCATTGAATAAAGGTGACTAAAACTGGGCTTTTTAAACACATGTAAACATGTTAGTTTGACTGAAGCCCCACTTAGATAATGCAGTTGGAGATAGATTTTTTTTTCTACTGTGTATATGCATCAATCAGACTAAAGCTGGCCATAGAGTTCAGTGCGTGCTCAGAGTTAGCCCACCAGGCTTTGACCCAGAAGATGGATAGCCTAAATGCAAGTAGCAATGCAATGGCAAGTAGCCAGGTAGTAAACCCACCAAACCTTCACAGATTAAAAAAAGAGACATTAAAAAAGCTGAAGCTGGGGTTATTTTCTTTTAAAAGACACAGAGCTTTTTCTTTTTTAAAACATCTGACGTACATGACATTAGCCACTTGCCAGCTTGCTTGTTGTTTGTTTGTTACATGATCTAGCAGGTCAATCGGGAGAAGACCTACAGGTATTGAGTGGAAAAAGTGCATCTCACCATCTACTGTCAATGTTGGGGACATGCTTTTGTCAATAATTCAATTCTTCTCTTGTGCTTACAAACTGGGACAAGTCAGCAGTCCATTTAAATTGCCAGTGACTTCTCTAGCTCAGCTTAACAGTACATGTATACGTACGGACTTACTTTTTGAAAGTAAAATACTTTTTGATATTACAGCCTGTTTTCAGTAGCCTTTTTTTGCTATGTTCAAATTTCTATAGAGATTTTTATTTCATGTTTATGGAAAAGACTGAAACTGACATTCATACTGTTGCCTTTTCTGATATCTAAAAGCAAAAATGACCATCAGGAACAAGATTGATATTACTTATATGGTAAATTTTAATGCTTGGAAACAGTATGAGGGGGTAGGTGTCAGTTGAGAAGCTACAGAAATCACCCTGTTGTATAATTTTAACATAGATTACTTAAAATAAATTATACATTTGACTGTTGAAACTCTGCTTACCTGGTCCTCAACAAGCGTAATTGGTGACTTTTGGCAGAAGTCTCATTCAGCAAAGACTGCTTTGTCCACAGGTGGCGCCAAACTTGTTAAAAACTAAAGATTCTTCACTGGTTCTTTAGGCTAGTAGCCTACTCTAGCTAGCTAGATGTTATATCTATAGAGTCCTAACCACAGATTGTATTGTTAGTTGTGACGTGGTGTCACCCATCTGTTTCTGAGACCAAGTTTTGAAACCAATCAGCAACAGTCACCATTTTGGAAATGCTGATTTAACCTAACTTTTAAGTCAACCTAGTGGTGGGAATTCGTCCTCCTTGCAAATAACGACAGTGTGCCTGCCTGCCAGTCAAATCAGTCAAGTTCACCAATCTTGTTACCTGAATAACGTCAAAACAAACTTGTAACCAAAAAAATCACTCCCTGTCCCATGGGTGCGGTGAGAGTCTTGAGTTAATCAGATCAAAGATTTTTTTTTTTTACCTGCACTGTAGTTTTGCTCTTTTTGGCTTTTTGGCCTGATATCTATAGTTTCTGGTGTTCCTGCAGCCAGCCTCAAGGGGGCACTCAGGGAGGGAACTGCAGTTGTTTTGCGCCAGCTTCATTTCTCAAGACCGGGGGTTGCTGCTTGATCCTCCTAACATAATATTTCCTGTAGCTGCATGGAAGCACTCATGCTTTAAATGAACACTTCTGTACATCTGATTAAACTGTTTTCTTGAGTTAAGGCCCAGAGACTTAAAAATGGAAGTCACACCATGTCAAGTTTAGTCCCAACCTCTTATTATTCAACTGAACATCTCAATGTTGCAAATGCTCAACAATTAGTAACAGTGGCCCTAAAAGTGCTGGCCCCAGAGCAGAACGAATGTAATTTTGGCTTAAAATTATCCACCCAACACATCCAGCAATGAACTGTGTCCGCCTGCTACTACTGAGCAAAACAGGTTTTCAGAATATTGAAGGGCCATGGTTCAAGCTTGAATCCTCTTGCCCTTGGCGAGACAGATATGGCACTTTCTTTCACCTCGGTCTCTCGCGCATTTCCACACTTATTTTAGACTTTACCGCCGCAGGAAATAAAACGACTGGCGCCGGTCTGTCTGTGGAGGCGCGAGGAAGATCAAACTAACGCCCGTAACCTTTTATAATAAAAGACAAGGCCGCTGTCCGTGGTGCTGAAATGACTCTGCTTCGATACAACTGTGCGCTGCCTTACAATAAAGTGACCCTGTTTTCCGGCCTCATTTGCCAGCGGAAATTACTTCAGAAGCTAAAAGTGACAGTCTTTTTCAGGCAGCTACAAGACCACCTAATTTATGTTTTGAAAGTAAGAGAAGGAAAATAAAGACAGCCCTCTTTCTCTTTTCTCTCCTCCTCCTCATCTCTCTCACTCCTGCACAGAGAGAGAGAGAGAAAGGGGGAGGGAGTCAGTTCAAGCGGGGATAATCAGAGGAGTGGGTCAGTGTTGGCAGATAACATCCGCGATGAGGGGGGAGAAAAAAGAGTGAAAACGCATCAAAGCAGCAAAACAATATGACAGGAGGGAGATAACAGTCGAGATCGACCACCATCAGCGCTGACGTCCAGTGTTGGCAGATGCGAGCAGTTTCCTCCGGCTCTCAGCATCCAATTACAATGGACGAGCTCCGACTGTGTGGACTCTAAAGCGCTGCCCAGCCAGAAGCGAGTGGGAAAAGAGGAAACAGAGAAAAAGAAAGGGAGGGAAACAATGCTCCGGCTCATCCATCTGCACTGATTTGAAGTGGGATTCATCTTTTTTTAAATTGTTTTGTCTCCTTAGTCGCGAGTGAGGGGACTGCTGGCAGGTCCACGCACGCAGGGAAACGGTAAGAAGCTGTGTGTGTGTGTGTGTGTGTGTGTGTGTGTGTGTGTGTTTGTTTGGGAAGAAAAAAGGGGACAGTGTGCACGCGGGATAGTGACACAGGGGCTCTTTAATGTTGGGACTCTAGTCATGCAGGCATAATTTCTGCTCATATTTGATGTAATGTCATCCAACAGTTGACATAAATTAAATCTTTTTTGATGTTTTTGGAGTCAAAAACTCTCAGCAGTGCACTTTGATGTATTTGAATATGAAAGTGGAGCAAAAGAGCTGAATTTGTTAATAACATGGATTAAATTATGATGCAAGAAGTTTGAGTGATATGACATCTTTACTTTTGAGACTAAAAGAACCCTGAGGGCATTTAAAACCCAAACCTGAGAATCAGTGTTCCAGATTATCCCACAATACCTGTTAATAATTGAGGAGTGAACGGTGCAGATACTGCATACTGAGACAATTTGGGTCAAAGGCTGCAAAAACGTCTGCTCTTATTAATATGAAATGAGTGGGCAAAATATTCCCAAACTTAACTCCCAACAGCAGAAACAGACCCTAAATGTGCCCTGTAGCACATTCTCCCTGTGTTATATTGCTCCATGCTGATATTAATATTTTATAGACGTGTGTGTGTGTGTGTGTGTGTGTGTGTGTGTGGGGGGGGGGGGGGGGGGGGGGGTAAGGTGCTTTCATGCAGTCTTTCTTTGAATGTATATTGTAGGGTATTAAGTTCTTGGTGACATAATTGGAGATGTGTTAATTCCATTTGTGTACGAAATTGGTGTCACAGCTAAAAGTGGTGATGTATTAACCCACATTATAAAGATGTGCGCTTCTAATTTAGTTTCCTAATATAGTTTTTACATAAAGCAGGCGAAAAATTGGACACCAAGGTCCATTAAATAAAGTCCGGTATGACACCGTTTCTCAGTGTGCAGTCTAAACGCCAATCATATGAATTGAGCTGACTCCTTTATGATAATTTATATTGACTATATGGACAGAAGGTGTTGTATTTTGCTGCATTATATTACACAAATATATTTTGAGAGAGTCGGGTTAGTATAAAACACTGCGTCACAAACTACAGCAATAAGATAGACCATTGTCTTCAAAAATTAAACATCATGAACATCTCAGATTTGTATTCATCACAGTGCGGCTGTTTTTCCTGCATTTATTTTGGTGAGGTGTCTCTAAAAAACAGTCAGTGGAGTCTCAATCTAGTTGATATTCTGAGGTATTACTTGCTTTTCCTATGCTGTTGCTGATTTCTTTCATTAACGCACACTTCAAAAAGTTATTCTTGTAAAAAAAAAAACATGTTCTTACAAATCTGACCGAGGCGACACAACAACATCATACTGGGGTTTCCCATCATTCCACAGTACTACGGCATCAATACCCCTGTTCTGATCTTTGGATATAGTTCAGAGACAGGCTATACCAATTTCCTCTGTAGAGCCTCTGTGTATTCAAATCACATGGGAATTTTCAAGTGCTACTGTTGTGATAGAGAAAAAAAAGGGAGTATAATAAGATGAGTGCTGAGCACAGCACACACCCTGCAGGAATCTGGTAGTGAAATCACACTGACACTATGGGAGACGCCAGGAGGGATAAAGTATGATTAGATCACTACAAGCTCACCATCACATCGTACCTGTCTCTACAGGGAGACTGTCATGTTTCCTCAATGTGCTTTCTAAGTACTTTAGTCTCCTTCTTAATGTCAGAGTTTAATGCACGTCTGTTTAGTTAATTGCTATTCTGCGCAGGAAGCAGTGAGGATCCAAAGAGCGGGCCCCTGGATAGGACCTTGTTTGTTCAACTCCGAGGTTGGGATGTCTGTCCGTGTGGACAGATTCATACAGACAAGTTGACTACATATGCCTGCAGAGATATTAAATTTTTCATTGGATACTGTCTGCTAGACAACGGAGACTGAATCTCTACTTCTATAATTGTATAGCCTGAAAATCTACTGATTCAGGCAAAAATCATCAAAACGCGTAAGAGAATAAACCAATAGCTTTAACAGTTTTATTATTTCCTGTCTATATGCCTGACTTCACTGACAAGCACAATACAGGCGATGTGCCATGGTGTTATTTGACACACATCTGGCATCCATCACTTGCAGTCAGCAGATGCTGTCACCTCCATGGCAACAAAGAAACATAATTTATGAGGATTCAATGGCTCCTTCTGCAGACACTACTGCACACCCAATATTACTGAAATGCAATATAGCCGGGATGATAAGCAATCATTTTCCAACGATTGCAAAGCATTCACTTCATTTTTTGGACACACATACACACACTTTTTCTCACTTTTTTTTTCTCTTTGCTGCTTGAGCAATACTTGCAATTTCAACAAAGCTGCCATAAAAAGGAGTAATATTTACAATTCAGATTCACCCGTCTGGAACATCAGGGGGAACACAATAATGTAACAGCTTAGAAGAAAATAGAATCACATACAAACTCAGTCATGTGGATACTTTTTTGTCAAAAAGAAGGGGAAATATGAAAATGGAAGTCATTGTTCTGCTTCTCAATGGAGGAGGACGCGACTCGGCTTCATCCATCTTCCAACCCGTCTGATCTCATCCATCCATCACAGTGTGAAACAAAACTCCTGAGCGACTGTCAGATGTTATGACTGTGCGTCTCATTTTGCCTCTCTTGTTACCACACACTCCCACTCCTACAGTTAGTTACACATAAGAAGTGATGAACTGAAATGGGGTGAAACCAGACTGATGAAAATGAGGCAAAAGAAGTCGAAAGATCAAACCTCCCATTCTGCCCCGATGTAATCCACTGACTCATAAATCCTGCAGCCTGTCAAATGAAGCTACTGTGAGTGAAATTGCTCTGATCGATTGCATCAACCAACCTTGACAATTAGAATGGACATTGAGTGTTCATGTGTGTGTGTGTGTGTGTGTGTGTGCAAGAAAGACAGACATACAGACACCAGAGAAAATTGGTATTTGAAAGAGGGCAATGCACGAAAGCACACCAGGGCATGTTTCAAAGAGGGGATGTTGACAAAGAGATTCTTTTGAAATGTGAAGAGCAGGAAACGCTAATAGTTATTTTCAAAAGGTGAAACAGTTAATCAAAGTGTTGCCCGTGTGTTTACAACTGTAACTGCCTGAGTCCAAGAGAAAGACAAACTAAACCATACTGGATTTTTTGTTGGCTTTATCTTTTTCGAAAAAAATGGAGGCACAGTTTTAGATTTTAGGGAACACGCTTTTGTTTTCTCCCCTTCAAGCCTGCTATCTGATGAGCAGCTGGATAAAGACTGAAAAGGGAACACAGATAGCAAGGCTCCATTTAAAGGAAGTAAAATCCTTCAAAAATTCCTCTCTACAGTCTCCACTGGTTGCTTGGTAACCTCACGTACACAACAAGACTCCAGGAAGTCTCAGAGTATGAATTTTAACCCCCCATAAAACCTTAACTTTACGGTTATTGCCTCTGAAAACACTTATAATGCTCCACAAAACTATTTTGTTTGCTGCAGTTCTACTTTCTGCTGCGTGAACAAACACTTTGTATCTTCACAGACACACTGCTGCGCGCAATTAGCACAGTGAATCATGTCTCTTCCTGTGTGCTGGGAGCAGTATCTGCTCTAGCCCATAGCAACCATAACAGTGTATGCAGTCATATTTCTGTAACCAAACTGAATTAACTGTCATATATTAAGTTTAGCTGGAAGTTACATGAACTAGAGGTGGGCAATATAGCCTCAAATTTTATCATGATATTTTAAAGAAATTTGCAAAAATGAAATGACAAAAAAGATTTTTAAAAAATGCATGGTGATTGTTGCTCAGAGGCAGCAGCATTTGTTTGTGAAGACAAAATAAGGGGCATTTTGCATCAACGTATCTGCTTTGTTGCCACTATGTCTGGTGGATTCAGAAATCTACCACCCACTCATGAATAGCTGCACCTAAACCTCGACTGAGAGGAGACAGAGTGATTATGATTTTTAAAAATACCTTTAAATACTGCTCTAAGTTATATATTTTCCATAGCAACATGACTCATATATAATGACAGAGCAATGCTACAGAACTTATAGTGGTGTAAAAAAGCAGAGCAGCCTCACAGAAAGAATCTCTGTGGACATATATAATCATAAAGTGAGCTTCCAAATGACTAAAAGTAAAATAATGGAGATAGACAGTGTCCGGTTTTATGCATACTTGTTCTTATTGAGGTAAATAAGCATGTCAACATGGTTGGATGTCAGACAGGGGTGCAACTAGGTCACAGTCAGTCCAGCAGCAGAAAACACGCACTGAGGGGACACTGTTGTAGCTGGTATGCAGAGATACTGGTGAGCAGGTTTGCCAGTCTGAGAAATCTCTTTGCACAGCTTGTAAAAGTTCTCAACCTACATGTTTGGTTTGTTTGTGCCTGTTGTTGAATATTTGCTCCCAAATAGGAGGCTTGTGGAGACCTTGTCCACAGCTGCAGCCCTCAGTGAGTGCCTCCGCTGTGCCCAACACCTTCAGGCAGTTGGTTCACATTAAAATTTAAAGCTCCTGTCAGGGACTTTCAGTTTGTGTCAATTTTGACACCCCCCTGTGGACAAAGCAGTCTTTGCTTATCATATCCACTTCATGTAAAAGTACGGTCTTGTGGGAAAAAAAAGAAATCTCATCCTGCTGAATTTTTACAGCCAATGTCATCATTTAATGTGTTTGTACAGAAATGGATTATGTAGACAGCTGCTCTGTTGGCACCTACCCCCTCATATCAGCCTGAGGAATTTAAAATGACTAAATAAAAAATATCAGCCCTGTCACTAGTGTTTTTCTGTAATAATAAAAAAAGCATCAATATGTATTTTAGTTGACTTCATTAAAAAAAAAAAAAATGACAGAAGCTTAAAACACCACCCTGACAGCTCAATATGATATGAGACCACATGTTGCTTATGTCTAACAGACAGAGAATCAAGCCAAGACCTGTGTGTTTGTGTACATTCTTCACAAACAATAACCCAATAATTAATCAATTGTTATTTTAACCATTTTAACATTATACAAGACTGTTAAAACTCTTATAAAATATATAAACCTTTCTCCAAACAAAGTGTCTATTTCAGTTCATCACAAGTTATAACTAATGTAATTAACACGGTGAAAATGGTCCTAATACTTTTTACAGCAGCTAAAATCAATTTTAAAAAAATGTCCAAATAATCTGGCTTTAAAAATGTTTTAAAAATGTTAATGTATTTCCCATTTTGAACAGGCTGTCTGCAACCGTTTTTTAAAGGATGAAATTTAATGCAGTTAAATCAGTCCAATAATTCTTCATTTTATGGCAACCTAAAACCTACCCCATAATGTAGTCTGATCTCACAAATTTAAAATCAATTATTTATCTAATGGCACATTAACCATTGATAAATCCATCAGTTACTGTATATATGTGACCGATTAATAAGGGATGACTCCTTGGGGAGGTGTACCCAATATTAATACAAGTAGGTTTTGCCAAAGATATCTGTAAAGAAAAGCATGTTCCTATGTTTCTTAAGCAATACCTTAGCTAAAGACAGCAATTTACTCTCTTACCAATGAGTAAAACCTCCTTCAATGTCCTCTCCGGTCTCTTTCCCTGTGCCATGATGCCACTAGTGAAAATACCGAGATAAGGCCCATAATGGGAGGTGTTTGCCTTCAGGGCTTTCTGCCAGAAAGCCATGCCTTTACTTCTCCCTGGAGATTGCACCCACTCACCCCAAGTTACAAGGTGCAGGAACAGGCCCCAGCTGCGGTGCAGAGATGAATGAGGCTCCACTCTCCTTATTGCAAGTCAGTGTACCAACAAAATTAAAATGAAGCAGTTTTTGGGGGTAAAACTGTTGAATAATGACTCTTTAAAGTGGAAAATATGCTGATTGTTAGAAAGGCAGTTAGACTAAATGAGACTTTGACTACGTGCTTGTGTTTTTCTGTCACTTATTGCATTAAGAAAATGTAATGTTACAGGCGAGCTGCAGTTTCATAAACTCTGTCATCTTTTATGAAGGACTTCCCATAAGATGGCAGTAAATCTATTTTGTGCTATATTAAGTTTCATCCGTATAATGTTTTCTATCTAAAATCGATATTTCATTGCATTAAAGTTCATTTGTTTTGAAGTCATACATTTTTTACACAGCTTTGGCAATCTTGCCTCTGCTTAGTCATGCAGATTAAGTTCTGGATTAAAGACAAAAGAGAGCACAGAGAGAGGGAAAAAAGGCACAAAGCCGAAACAGTTGAAAATCTTCTTTTGAGCCTCAAGCAATAATGGTGTGACGTAACAATCACCCTACTTTGATATCAAGAGCGTGAAAGTAAATCTTGTGAGGAAAATGATATTGATAACACAGTCGTATAGCCGCCATTGTGCTCTGACTTCCTGGTAGCAAATCAAAGAAACCTTAATTCTAGACAATAGTCATTCAAACAATAGACAGTGGGTGTTTATTTTTCTCTGTCAGTCCATTTGTGGTTGGAGGAAAGTACAGATGGTCACTGTGCATCAAGGATAAAAGTGTATCTGCAACCACAGCAAGCAACCCCCAGTGTATGGTCATCAAAACAGCACCTTTGGCTAGGCCTGCACGATATATCGTTTGAGCATCGTCATCGCAATGTATGTTTGCACAATAGTCACATTGCAGAGCTTGCAATGTAGAAGGTAAATGAACTCTTCTAATTTCAAGAGTAGCTGACTGAGATTCACTGCATGGGATTCTGCGTGTGCTGTGCAGCGATCCACCAATCACATTGGTTCTTTACTCAGTTGCCAATCAGACTACCCTACCAGCCATCAATCAAAATCAGAGAAGAGGAAACCATGCCCCTGCACATGGAGTGAGAAACGAATGCCCGCCGACAATTACTTTCAGAACATTACTCATCACTGTTAAGCCCCACAAATAAGAATTGTACAGGTTTTAAATTGTACATTTCCGTGGACCACTCTACTACAAGCAGTGCACGTTTCCTCGAGTTGCCTGCAATTCTTGGTGGACATGTGTTTCTCTGCACAACACCGGTAACAACAACAATTGCAAAATGAGCAACGAACAAGAGAAAAACACAGAAGATGAAGACTTGTTGCCAAAAAGAAAAGCAACGTCAGTTATCTGAAATTATTTCTGTTACAAGAAAGATGTTGTTGACCAAACACCTGTTCTGTGTCTGCAGTGCCTTTCATCTGTTGCCACAACGAGAGATAACTAGTCCCAGCACAATAAAAGCAAGCTAAAAATATCTCTCAGACAGACAGAAGCCATTCTATTAACACTCACAAAAAGAGGCAAGATCAGTGCAGGTTAACCATCCACAGGATTTCAGCAGTGCAGCATTGCTATATAAAGTGCTATTCAGGTCATCTTGTAAAACTTCCTGTATTTTTTAATATCACAATATATATCGCAGGGTTGGAAAAAAATTGCAATGTTGTTTTTTTCAATATCGTGCAGCCCTACCTTTGTCACTGGGCCTCTTTATTGGGCTTATTTTTTCAATGTTGCAGGAGCAACAATCAGCTTTAAGATGGCAAAGTGAATGGGTGTAGAAAAGGTGGGATCATTAAGGCTGAAAGTCACATGCTCTTTTACTTCAGGTGATTTTTTTTGTTTTGGGTGGATTTTTGTGATGCACTTTTTAACAGTAAGAATATCATCAGCTTAAGCATTTGTTAAGGAACCACCCAGAGAACTGGCCTAGCCTCAGACCCATCATCAAGCTCATTATTATTTTTGCTGGCAGGGGGTCTGATACCAGAGTCATTCTAAATGTTACTCCATTGTTGTCAAATGAACCCACTTAATCACAGACAACTTAACCACAGAGACGACGCATGAGTGCCACCCATCCCAGAAGTACTTTTTTTTTTTTTTGTTTTTGGCTGCCGGTAACAAACATAGATGCTGCTTATGGAGTGTTACTTTGTGACAGTGTTACTTACAGCATGTTATTCCTTTTGCCTTAAAGCCTAAAACATACAGGATCCGTATTGAGCGTGTAACGTCAGTGTCGTGTATCACACAGCGAAAAGGTTGCCATTCTAATCAATGATGTATCGCACACAGGATACCTATCAGCTCCGTCACAGCTCTGTCTCAGAAGCGTATTGAGCACAGCTCTGCTAAAGATGCGTGCCAAGTCTATTTTTGCTTCTCTACATGCCAATGTACACAAACAGGATCATTCTAGGCAGCATGTCATGCACTAAAATTGCACATGTCAAATGGTATTTCAAAATAAAACACCATCTGCGGACTCCCGACTGTGTATCAGCTCATGTAGATGAGAAATACTTCCTGGTTATGGATTTGTCAGTAACACAGAACGATCCAATGGTCAATCCCTGATCCATATGGACCCCAACAGGACATTTAACTGCTAACTCCAAAAACTGCTAATCCGAAACGGTAAAATTATGTTGCTTTTCCGCATGTAGTAGAGGCTCAACAGTCACTAAATTATATTCAAATTAGCAGGAAATAGAGCACACAAAGGCAAAACGACCTGTTGTGAGCATGTTGTTTCCTGCATACTGAGTCCAGCTGACCAGGGCTGCACTAAGCTGCTGCCACACTCCATATACGCATCCTGTATGCGATATCCAACGCTGCTCTATGGAGCAAATGAAGAACGTGCTCGATAAGGATCCTGTATGTTTTTGGTTTCAGGGAAGGTTTTTATGGGTTGAACAGCTGCAGGTCTCAGATCATTTTGGCTTATGTTTACAAAGGAGTCATTGGTGAAGTGGTGAGCACAAACGGCTTCACTGAGACTATTGTTTTCCATCAAGATTTTACACTTTTTGTTCTGGAACTTTTGTCTTTGGGAGGAGAAATCTGCTGTGACTTACTTTTACAACCAGAAGCAGACTTACATAAAGCAACTTTCCAAGACATACTGATTCAACAAAGTGAGGAGTGGGAAAAAATCAGGCCAGTAAAATTGAATTTTCAGGCAAGGGATTATTTGTATGAGCTTCCTGCTGGTTCTTAAAGCGGCATTGGAGCTGCCAGATGGGCTTCAACATTGTCCTGATACTGTGGCAGAGCCTGTCACCAAGTTCAGGCCAAGTTTCATAATGTTATTGGAATAAGTTGTTCAGGGAACCAAGGCAACCGGTCTGTACATTTTGCCAACATCCATTTATCTCCATTTATTGGGCGGCAGTAGCTCAGGGGGTAGCGTGGTCGGCCAATAACTGAAAGGTTGGTGGTTCGAGCCCCGTCCTGTCCCTAGTCTGTACGTTGTGTCCTTGGGCAAGACACTTAACCCACCTTGCTCCCAGTGTGTGTCCTCCACTGGTGTATGAATGTGAGTGTTGTGTGGTGGTGGTCGGAGAGCCGTTTCCGTCAGTCTGCCCCAGGGCAGCTGTGACTACTAAGGTAGTTTACCACCACCGAGGTGTGACTGTGTGAGTGAATGAATGATGTATCCAATGTAAAGTGCTTTGAGGGTCTCTGATAAAGCACTATAAAAACCTGATGCATTATTATTATCTCTTAATCATGAAACAGTGCTTAAGTTTTACAAGGACATCCAACATTGTTACCCTATATGAATGTATTACATGTGGTCTCCTTTAAATGACTTATCTTCATCAGCAATTCCCTTCTGAATAAATAGTCAGTGCTGACTTTTTAGAGACACATTAAACAAGGTGGTTCTTACATATACATATGTGTGTTGTTAAAGACACACTCCGATGAAAATCAAGTATTTCTTGTTTTTTATAAGTCCATGTGCCATTTTTCTGATGCTACAGGACCTATCATGAGCAAACTAAATGCAAAATTGCTTTTCTGAGGATTTCTTCACTAAAATCACTGTGAATCTCTGGCAGACCCAAACGGCAGGATCAGATTCAGTGAGATTTCATATGTAACAAATCCAAGCTCCGCTCCCAGAGCCCCACTATGCAAGCCAGACTCTGCATATAGAGGAGAAATACAGAGGACGATTACAGAACAAGCAAATTGCTAGTGATCTACTGGAGCTCTGCAGAAAAAAAAAAAGCCATTGGAAATGACACAGGTAACAGGCTTTGTGGCAAACTTAATAATCAATTAAAGACCACTGAGAACACTTTAAGTAGATTAAAAAAAACGATCGCAGTGGGACTTTAACTGTATAACAGAGAGATGACATACTGTTTAGTCTGTTTTTAGCAGGCATCAACCTCAGAAGCTGGAAAGGAAGGAAAGGAAGACAATGTGAAAGTGATCAAAACTGCAGTCCCTCAAGCGTCCACTTGAGACTGACACTATAAGCTTCATAGGTGAAGTCTTTGTACAGTTTTTGGGCAGAGTTGTGAACGGGGAAGAAAGAGTAAGGACTGGTGTGACAACAGGATTGGATCTGGACATTGGTTGCCATGTTAAAGGTCTAACGTCTTTGTAATCAGAGCTAAACCATCACCTCACTTTAGCCCCACATTTAAATTTGTGCACATTCGGAAGTCTTAAGAAGTGACATGTTTGTTCTCTGCCAGCCCCTTTATTTTGAAATTCTTACTATAAATTAAAAATGAATTATTTCTGAGTGTAGGGCAACACATGTACCAAACAGAGTGGTACCTAACACACCATATTTGAAATCGAGGGTAACCATTCACCCTGTCACATTTGATGAGTTAGGTTTGAGAGTGTGTTGACCAGAGCTGAAGTATCAAAGTGCTGCAGACAAACTCAGGGTTTCTCGGTTGCTTTGAACCTGCGTGCGAATCATGTCAACAACTATTTTACTAATCAGCTTACATTACTACCAACAGTCTTCACATCTCAGACAGACCTGTTCCAGCAGTTTATCAACTGAACTCTAAAAAAGCAAAGATTTATCGAGTTTGTCTAAGCACAGGGAGATCTAGTGGAGGGTTTTAAACTAAATGCTCCGCTGGGAGAGGAAGCAGAGTGCTGCTGCTGCACAGAGGGTGATCTGCCTGAGGTAGCCTGGCAGCATGCAACACACACACACACACACACACACACACACACACACACACACACACACACACACACACACACACACACACACACATACACACACACACACACACACACAAATGTACAGTACACTCTAATACACGTTAAAGACACACACAACATGCTCCCATTTACTTTGTTTCTCTACAACACAGACATTTACAAATGTCTCCCTCTGCTTCTTCCCCACATCTGCTTTATTGTGGAAATCAATGGCTGCAGAGCTCAGCTGGACAAAGTGGCGGTGGAAAAATAAAGAAATCAATGCAGCCTTATTAACTGAGCAGAGCTTCCTTTAGCGCTGACACAAAAATATGTGTGAGAGTGTGTGAGAGGAGTGCGGTCTTGGCTGCCAGCTTGTGTTGGACCGGTGTCTGTGAATGATGATGGCTGCAACTGGATGTAGGACGGATGTGCGAGTGCATAAGCATGTAAGTGTCTTCCCCTGTGTGTGTGTGTGTGTGTGTGTGTGTGTGTGTGTAGGTCTGTCAGTAACAGTGTGTACGTCCCTGACTGTTGGTGGCAAGTGTTTGTGGACAAGTGCTACTTTGTGAGCGTGCTCTGCATGATCATGAGGTGTGCATACGTGTGTGTGTTTTTGTGTGCATGCTTGAGACTATCGCTCAAAGTCAGTGTGTTACTCTTGGGTTCCAGCCACAGTCCTCTCCCTTTTGCCTTGGCCGCAGTCTATTTGTGGACAATGGGATGCTCAGAGACAAATGATTTAGCACCTGTCAGTCAACACAAAGGGTGAGAGATGAGAAAAGAAAGAGGTCAGAGATGGGAGGAAATGGGGAAATGATTGAGACCTTCAGAATAAAGGGGAAGAAGAAGTTCAAGCCAGAGTTGAGCAAAAAAGAAATCACGATTTAGCTTTGGGTCTTCACATCACTCATGTTCCCGTGAGCAATTTTCCTAGCAAGCTGACAGATTCTATTTTCGTTGAGTTGTTTGCCTAACACTGGCTCACATGAACTGTGCCTGGCCTTCGGGCGCAGACCTTCCCTTCTAGTAAGAGTTACCATAACAACAGATGAGGCCCACCTGCACCGGTGGCAGCATAGGGATGTGAACTTTGCTTCTGCCTCCAGCATTCTGGATGTGTGCCGCACCTTCCGACACGTCGACACCTACCCTCCCCTGAAAAAATGTTAAAAAAGAGGGAACCACAACAGCAGTGTGTGGTGAATTTTCTCTGTGCTGCGACTGTTTGGCCAGGCAAGCTGTGATTGTTCAGCAGGAGAATGATTTGTTTGAGGCGTGAAAACAAAGCGCTATGTCAAGAATAAAGAGGCAATTGTAATTTCAGAAACTCCCAAATAAACAAACTCCCAGCTGCTTGAATCCGGTGTGAAATAATGTTTGCAGAGCTGCAGCTTGCAGCGTGTGGATGCATGTTAGGAGGTAGATGCTGGTGCTCCTGAATGCTGAACAGGCTTTGTGTGATGTGCACTTTATTAGATTTGCTGACTGACATCTGCCCTGTCTGGACTCTCCTTTGACACTTGTCTATGCACACAACATTAAGCTCTAATCAGCCTATTTATACATTTATACAAAGTCCATACAGATAGGAGGCTGACCTCATTTTTAATACAGAACAAAGCAGCCCCCCTCTATGAAAACGTCGACAGTGCCGAGAGCGGCTTAGCTAACGAGCATCTGATTGTGCAGATTACGCATGTTCCATAGAGGATTAACGAGACTGAAATGAACAAATTGACCTCTTACTTTTGAAATCCCACATCAACATGACAAAAGATGAGAGCGAGGGTAGACTAGATCTGAAAGAACAGAGCACATACTGTACCAAAACTCACCCACAGCAGCATTATTTAAATCAACCTCTCCCTGGATGTTGTTTTATTTCAGTCACTGTGTTTTTTCATCGTTTCCATAACGTGAAAACTCTATGGGTTATCTTTGTCTCTACATCTCGTCTGTCTTGTTCGTACACTGAAAGTGCGGCGCGTTTCCTCACTCAGGCTTTTAAAGGCATGGTATCTTTTTTCTCTACCTGGCAGGGTGTCATTTGCATTGATGTGTCTCCAACAACAAATATAGGAGCATGAATCCTCTCCTGTGTGTATTCTTAGCAGAGGGCAAGCCAGCACCCTCCCCTCTGACACTTTGCAAGCAAGTCAAAGCTATTTAAAAGTCATCTCACTGCGGGAAGTAACAAAGGCTCAATGACAGACCAAGGCCTTATTCAAAATTCAATTTTTGGGCTTTCTCTCTCTGACAATGGAAACACATAATTTCTCTCCACGCTTGTTTGCTGCTCTCTACAAAGGAAATGGCATGCTTTGTTAATGAGCGTCTCTGTTTTTGCTGAGAGAAGAAGCTGAGCAGCTTATGTGGGTCACATTGTATTAATCTAGCAGGCTATCCCCTGTAATGTGCCCTAAATCAAACATGCCATATTAAAACCCAGTTCATTGCTCATTTGCTTCATAATGTGGCGTGTCTGAACTAAGAGTCACTTCTCAGCCTCTGAAATAGCGATCCTAGTACTCTTGCATTTCAGTTTTAAATTACTGCTCTGGATTATAGCGGTACAAATGAGAAACGCTTGATATCAATCTGGCTGAACAGTTCAAACAGTCCTCTTGTTGAATATTTATCAGTCACAGTTTATTTCAGGCACAGGACCCTTTCATCACTTAGCTCTAATGAGATCTTTGTGCATTCTAGTAATTAATAACAACATGATTCAAAATCATTGAGAGTGAGATGTTAACGCTCACAATTATCTCACTGGGTGATTCTACAATCTTGAGCAAACTCGAAATTTTCACAAGATAGACAAGCTTAATGGGATCTGGAGCCACGGCCGGGCTGCACATGAATGTTTTATATCAATGTGAGACTTTGGAGGGAATCAATGCCATGTCTGCGCCTCTGCTGGATGAAGATTCTGTACAACGAGCAGGGCGGCTCAGCGGAGCACAATAAATCTACCTGATGTCAGCGGAGCAGAATGACAAGCTCAGTGTGACATTTCAACATGTATTATATCTCCAGGCCCGCGGTATCTCCATGCGATCTGTTGCTGATGAACTGTAGTGAACACTTCTGGGCGACGTGATATTGGACAGCAGGTCTAAGGCCGTTTCGATGTGAACAGTCGAGTGAAACAATAAATCCCTTCCAGGCTGTATAGAAATAAAAAAGGGCATGGGTGAGTTGCTCAGTGATGGGTTTATATCACAGACAGATATTCCTGAAAGGTGCTGTAAGCGTCCAGAGATGATACCTCTGATCAGATGAACGGAGCTGGCTGCCACTTGGGATTTGCTATGAGGGGGTAAATATGGTTTCTCACATTGTAAGGATCAAAAATGCGTCCCACCTCTTTGCTGCACATCTGCACACGTGTGTGTTTCAAAGACAGCACAGCAGACTGAAAGAGAGGCAGAGTGTGAGTGTTTGCGCATACATTAAAAGACAAGAGAGAGGTCCTTGAGGCAACCTGCACATCTTCTATCACATCTTTAATTAATTGAAGCCCATAATAGAGGCTGTTGCAATTTCACTGAATAGATGCGGCTGAATGGAAAACAGGCAGGATGAGAAGATAGTTTTATGTTGCAGTGCTTTTTATCAGTCCTCCCTTGTCATTTCACAGTCACAGAGTTACACAACATATCTGCAGTCTTTGCTCTGAGGATGAAATGACTGTGAGCGGAAAGGGTTTGTTGTTACAAAGTGAAGTGAGAAACACAGCAGCAAAAGTACACCTGTCCTACACTCAAGAAGAAGCACAGATACTTTTGACCTTTTAACCAAAAAACTCCAGTAACGCAGAAGTACTGATTCATCTTCTAAAGTAATAGAAGTTAGAGTGAACAAATGCAGGCTCTGAAATAAACTCTGAAGGGAAAAAGGGAAATTGGCTTTGAGACTTTCTACTGGCTGATTATATGTAAAAAGTGTGCAAAGACACCCCCCCCCCCCCCCCCAGGAAAAAAAAGGATAATGATGATATAATTAATTAATTAATTGATTAATTAATTATTTTTTTTAAAAAGTAAAAAAATAATAACACAATCACAACACTACAATTACACTAGAAAAGAGCTACTCCACAAGTGTTTGTGAATGCAGTTGGCTCAATTACACGTCGTCAACCATTGAGTCATGTTTTATCTGCCTCAATAGCCCAGTGACAGAGACTTCTGGAGGGGAAAGACAGCCTTATTACACAATTGTTTGCAACGCTTTTATTTTGACTTCTCTACTGTCTAGTGTTTGGGCTGTGTTTAGGCAGAAACTCTTAGGATGTTTTTGGATTTATAATAAATCTTGATCATCAGTTAAAAGTGTCTGACCACTCCTAGATAAGAGGGCTGCAAGCTAACCAATAGAAAAAGTTATGGGGAGGAGGATTTTCTTCAGGTGCTGCTGTTGTTATCTGTTAAAAATGCAAACAGAAAAATGCTAAAGTAAGACAGGGTTAGAGAAGACCCCTCAGTGGCTCACCCTGAGTACAGGAGATCTAGTGGTCGATTTCACATAACCAGCAACTAACTTTGATTATCCATTACATGCATGTCCATGTCAAATACAAATAATATTGGTTTTCCTCTTTTCTGCCGTGTCAGTTTCCTCTGCAAACCTCTTTTCAGTACAAGAAGTGTGTAAAACAACATGCCAAATATGCCAATGAATCATCCTTTTGTGGTCTGTATAATTATCCAAAGTCTGTCTTGTTGTTTGGAAGGCTGTATGCAATGATGTAAAAAAAAAAGAAAAAAGAAAACACTCCAATTTTATGACAGCTAAAACATGAAACCTGTTCTTAAAATTTGAAGTAGAAAACAAAGATTTTTAGAGGGAAAGAGCAAAAAGGTTCCCAAAAAAAGACTTAAGTTTATCACAGAAAATTGAAATCTTGAAGCATTAATGAGAAGTGTTTCTCTGGTTGTGAAAAAGCCAAACTGACAGTAATGCTTTTTTGTGAGCTACAAAAGAAACAAGACCGATGACCAAAACCATTTATGTTTGAGGTTTTTTTTTAAGGCTGTTGTCACTGCGAGGAAGTAGGCATCAGACAGGGAAAAGTAACAGCGCATGTGGTGAAATAAAGTTGACTCTAATATAGATTTCATCATGGAGCAGATGCACTCCTAAGTTGAAAAAGTAAGGAGCACACAAAGAACTCAAGGGGCACAATGAAAATTGATCAAATAATGTGTCTTATTAGTTGACTTAAGTACGGTTATTTGAAATCAATTTTAGGTCAATTGGTCACATGACATTGAAGCTATTGAAGAAAATGTTCAAAATTTGCCTTTAAATTTAACACAAATTTTTTTAGAGGACAAATTAGGGAAAGACAGAGGTGTGTCTTATTGGTCGACATAAGTCCTATTATTTGAAATCAATTTTTAGGTCAATTGGTCATTCGAAGCTACTGAAGGAAAACAGCCTTTTTTGAAAAAATCAGTTGGTAACTAATTGATGGTCCCTTGTTCAACACCCGATGTTGACAGTGAGGCTGCTGAGTAGATTTAACCCTGCTGCTGTTTCCAGGTATGGAGAGTGAGAAGACACCGGTAGATACACTGTGAATGTCCATCAGATATCCTATTTAAAACTAACTTCACCTCAGTATTTACTTGAAAAAACATTTGTTGCCTCGGCTGATTTTTTTTTCTCGCACACATGTGCCCCTAAATACATTTTACAATTCGCACACATCTATTTTTAGTCCTGGTGATGAGTGTTAACTAATTCAAATAATACCCTTAGTCCTGGACATTAAAAGCGACCACATATCAATGAAGACCTGTTTTATCTTCTGTCTTTGTCCAAAAAAGAAAGCCAGAATTGACTTGCTAGCTAGTATGTCTAAAGGGTTGTTTGTCTTCAGTTAAGCCCCGCCCACCCTAAAACTGCAAAGGGTCCTTGAGTTCATGTGTTTATTTGGTTTCTGAACTTTAAAGCCTGTAAACAAAAGCTTACTGCGACCTCCTTTATCAGACTCTGCAGCAGTGACAGGCATTTTAACACACGTTGCTAAAGGTCCAGAATCTTTCTTGTGCCTTTATTTTGCTTTTTTGCTTTTATAAGGGGCATAAAGGAATCAGTATAAATTTCAGTCTGTTTTAGGATCAATCAGTAATTCTTTACAGGATATTCAGTGTACTGTTAGAGGAGTACCTGCAAATTGTGACTCTTTAGAGGGTGAATGATGCTCACTTTCTTCTCTTTTCCACGTTTCCCCTCTAGATTTGTTAACCGTGAAACCACCATGGTCCCCCTGTGGTTCTCCAGACTGGTCCTAATCGTGTTGGCCTGCAGCCCTCACCTTTCTCTGGGATGCCCCTCTGGCTGCCGCTGCTACAGCCTCACGGTGGAGTGTGGATCTCTTGGGATTAAAGAAATCCCACAGGGTGTCCCTTCAGCCACAGAGGTCAGTTGGCCAATCGACTATGAGTTAGGACACTTGCTGTTAGTGCATTACAGTTGACCTGCCCATCCTGCATCAGTGCATTTGTGCCACTCGCCCCCCTCTCTGATCCATTCTTATTACCCTGAAATGATTGTGGTTAATCAATTCACCATGGCCCTCTTTGATGTAAGCCTGAGGGAGGGGCTGCGCTGCTGGCTGTGTAATTATTCATTCTTGCTCAGAAAGTGACTCTCACACACCCTCTGATCATCTGTCGAGAAGATGTTTAACATTACATCGTCTTTTCCTCTCGGGTTCAGGCCCCCCAACATTACTGCAGCTCATGAATATTAATGGAAAGCATGTCCGGGATAAATTGTTCCATTAACCTCAATCAGCAGGTCTATCTCGTCAATCATACTTTACCTCATGGCCCGTGTTTTCCTCTTTGAAAACATCGCTTGTGAATGCACATTAGCAATCAAGCAAAAAGCCATGCATTATGGATCAAACAGTTTCTTTCGTGTAGCAGCAATCACTCAAACAGTTGTTGCTTGAAGATGTTTGCTGACAAGGTCTGTGATTTCTGCTGTGTTTGGCAAAATAACTGAGCCTTGCAAAGGGTAAAATGCAAAGCAACCCACATCATCAGAGCCACAATTATAATTATCCTGAACTACCATGTCCCACATTGTTTGTACTCGTACATTAGCATAGAGTGTATTCAAAGATCTGCACAGCCCAAGAGTGCAGAGAGGCTTAAAGTGTCTCTGTTGTCAGTAAATCTCTCTTCATGGTTGGCACATTATTCCATCATCTCATCGATGTTTTGTCGCAGTCCAGACCACCTACACTGTGACTAAAAACCCTTAGTTTTCAGTCCTGGAAAAGTTGGTGACAAATCAGCAATTTTCAAGTTACAGAGAAGTTTTAAAAGTTGGAGAAAAATCCTGCCAAAGCCTGGCCATGCTCCCATTTTGTCTAAGGTGATCCTAAAACAATCTGCACGATTGTGAGGCAGTTTTTTCTAATTTTTGTGTTACAGTAGAAGGGACAGGAAAACAAACACACAATGAGCCCTAAAGCTAATACCGAGCAGTAACACCAGGTCCCATTCAGGGAAGTGCTTTAATGTTTAGCTGGAGAGCCAAAACATCAGGGGTAGTCAAAGCAGTGTTTGTCAATATACAGCTTGAACATACATATTTTTCAGGATGCTTCTTAATCCCAGAGAATAATTGCTTCAAAATAGACTTATGAGACTCACAAAAAATTGTTTGGCTCAACTTTTCCCTTTTGAGGGAGAATAAGTTTAGTCACAAATGGGTAAATTGCTCTGCTTATCTTGGTAAAGTAACTCAAAACATTTTGACCTTTAGTACTCTTAAATTCTGCTATATGGAAGACATACTCTGGTCAACTTAAAAGTTTTATCAAAGATAAAGGTCACATTTTTTTAATGCCATTTCTTATTATCAAGGTCTGTATCTGAACTAGAACAAAATCAAGCTCAAACCAAAAGGAAAAAAAAATTGCGATCCTGTTTAACGACTTCAGCCACAGGTGGTCATAATGACCAACAATATTAAGCTGGATTAAATAACAAGGCAGTTGAACACAGCTTTCAGTCAGTCAGTCAATGTTAACTATGCAACAGAAATTTAATTATTAATATGTTATTACTTATTTATCACAACCATAGTTTCTTATGTTGAAATGTTTTCTTAATGCCTTCAGAACATTGATTAATTTTAATGCTGGATCTCTGCTTGAACGTTGTTGTAAATATCCAGCAAAAATGTAGTTGTCATCTTGTCGTTAGTGACTCCCCAAGTTCCTTAGTCTTACCACAGTTCTACAAGGCTTACATTACATGACTTCTTAGGTGATTTTAAAGTCGCAAACACATTTGCAAGAAGAGTTTTGCTGAAGTCAAGGCACACTCCCATGATCTGCGTTGTTAGGCATAAGGTGATGTTGAACCCTGATCAGGACTGGTGTTGAACCTGATCAGGTGGTCTTGAACCCTGATCAGCCTTTCAAGGCTGTGTTTTTCCTCTCCTGGCACTACAATAGAATTAAACCTGTTTATTTATACTGCAGGTCTAAAGTTCTCAACATAATTTCTGTAAATTTTCAGAAGTGCATGAATGAAAGAGTTTACAATTTACATAAAGGCATTCCTCAAATTTAACCAAAAGAATAATTGTTTAGAAAAAAAAAAAAAAAACAATAATCATGCAGGGCTCTAGTTTTGTGCCCACCGGCGGCACGGCGGAGGGTGGCACACCCCTTGCAGTGGTATATTCATCTGGTGGAGCCCGGCACACAGCCAGTTTGGTATCTTCGCCAACCTGGGCGTGGTGGCGCAGTAGAGGGAGGTGTCGACAGAATCAGCTGGCGCAGTGATATTTTCGTGCTTGGGAAGTGCGCTGAAAGCTCGCCGATTTAAACCTGGTCAGCTTTCTAGTGGTATTTTAGTAGACCGACGGAGTAGTGCGCACATGTTTTCAATGCCTCACAGGCAGTTTCCACAGTGTCAAGCACATTTCAGTGTGATAAATAATCAACAACAACCAATATTCAGCACATATACATTTAGATCTATATCGATATATTTTGATCTTTATCTTATCTGATGAGCACGATTGGCATGTGTTTGGACACTCAACCTGACAGAATTAACACAGCTAAAACCATATTAAATTAAATATCCAGTAAATAGTAACACATGATGAAGTTAACAAGATATCTAATTCATCTCCCCCCTTTTTCTATCTTCCTCTTCCTCTTATTTCTCATGCAGCTCAACCGGACATGTCTCCGTGTCCTCTCCCTGTCCTGCTGCTGCGGCGGCTGAACAAATGATTTATTTTAGTGATCAGAAGAGTTATTTACTTCCAAAATGTGAACAAAAAAATTAAAGAAACTTCCATTCAAAATTACCTGTTTATCTAATGTTTTTACATCCTTAAAATTCTGTGAATATTCAGTCTGGAGTTAGGCTCACATACAAATATAATATTCAGTTGCGTGAGCCAAGTTCATTTTATATGCCAACGTCAATGAAAGAAACAGCCAGGCCACAGAGTGCGATGCGTCCTTTACGCACAGGTTGTTCTGACTTTAAAGCCATTATTAGAATTCATGTTGTGATCTGTGCGCACAACCCACCGTTGTCACGTGGAGTTTAAATATATGCAACTTTATGTGTGTTTTTTGTGGAAAAGGGTGTTTGTCTTAACAGTGGGTACACCTTACACACACCAAATCCCTCTTTGCTTATTTGAGAGTGTGAAGGATGCCCTCTGCAGCGCTTACTGTGACACTTGTTGAGGAGCTGCTTTTTGTTTCCAATTGTTGTGGCATTGCTGTCTTCAGCCATCTCTTCGACTATTTTATAAAAATTGTAATACGCCTCGCTGGTGGCGGATTTAAAGGTGAGGAGAGGAGCTGATATGATTGGTGAAAACAGGTCTCTGCTGTGTTAAACCCACTCCACGCCTTCTCCCCTCCCTCTCTACTACTTACGCCGCTGGGAGGAGCTGAGTTAAGGAGGGGGGGATACGTTCGCCGGGCTGCGCCGCTCACCAAAATACAACATTGTGCTTGGGCATGCCTTATCGGTGCGGCGAACCTGACGTATGCTGCGCCTGCACCACACCACCGATGAGGCAAACTCAAAGTTAGAAAAAGAGTTGATGTTTGCATTTTTGGCAAAATGTTTCCCACCAAAATGATGCAAATGATGATAAAATTAAGGCAGTGTGCTAAACCTACCTGATGGTGTGATCTTGTTTGACCCAAAAATATAAACCTCATTTTTCAGAAGCAGGGCCAGTCAAAGTAAAATTGACAACAGAAATCTTTTTCAAGATTCAATTTTACTTTGACAGTCTATGATCATACTCTAGTTCAAAACACCTATTCAAGTATCATTTATTCTATTGTGTGACTCAAATACATTCAGTTTGTGATCTCTCACTTAGTTGTATCTGCATTATTTTCCTCATAGACCATCTTCCTCCAGGACAACGGTATAGTGCAGATCCGTCTACAGGACCTGACTCGGCTGGGGAGCCTCCATTATCTATACCTTCAGAATAACAGCATCTCAGCGCTGGAGCCCGGCGCGTTCCTCAGCCAGGGGCAGCTGCTGGAGCTGGCCTTAAATGGAAACCTCATCCACCTGGTCACAGCAGACATGTTTCGAGGTCTGGAGCACCTCAGGATCCTTTACCTTGCTGGGAACCAGATCACTAGGGTTCAGGACTTCACTTTCAGGGGGCTGCAGGTTGGTGACCCCAGATGTTTGATAGTGATGTTTAGAGGGTGGGTGGATGAGCAACAGTGATTCATTCCCTATTTGTTTTAAGTGTTCCAAAAACCTTAACCATAATCCCATTGTGTGAAGGGTAAAAAGCTTAGCCCTCAGCAAAGCTAAAGCTTTTGAACATCAGCTGCCTTTCATGGATTATATATAGAATGATGTCTGCAACTGTAAATCCAGTTCATAGCAACATGTCTGACTAATCCCTGCCATACACTAATACAGTACAGGATGAGTCAGGTGGAATTAAGTCATCCTCTCCTCACATTTGACATCAGTTTACTCCCTCTTCACTTGCATGTTTCATATTTCCCCCCCTCTGTTTTGTGGTTGCAGCGTTTGCAGGAACTCCACCTGCAGGAAAACAGCATAGAGCTGCTGGCAGAGAAAGCTCTGTCGGGTTTATCATCCCTGGCCTTGTTGGACCTCAGCAGAAATCACCTCTGCACCCTGGGAGCCTCATCCCTCAAACCTCTCGTGAGCCTGCAGGTCCTCCGTGTCACAGGTAGGCACAGCAAGAACAGAGGTTGTGACTGTTAAATAAAACCATACCCTGGAAAGATCAAATCTGAGTCATAGTCCTCTGAAAAAAAAACAAACAAACAAAAAAAAAAAAACATCCATGCTGCAGTTTTGGCAAGCTAAGACTGCCTGGGAATGCACCACAACAGCCTCATCAGACAGGCTTGTGTAAATAAAAATTATGTGCCCTGAAACATGTTTTGCATATCAAAAGGTTTCAGCCAACCATAAACCTTTCATGAGAAAGAAAATCCCTTAAAGACACAATTAAATAGAATAAATTAAAGAAACAGATGCTTAAAAGGCTGTAAGTCCTGAAATGGATGCTGAAAGAGCTAAAGCAAAATTTAAACTATACTAAGCACAGTAAGTTGTTTACAATGCAATATTCTTTCAGAGTCTACAACCCTAGTTCCTAAAGACTTCAGACACAGTCCAAATTGTTAATAAAACAGATCTTGATGGTTTGAAAATTATTTTTAACCCAAAGAACAACAACAAAAAATGTTAAGACAAAAAAATGCTGCTGTATTTTGAAGAATAGAAGTTCATTTTAAATTATATGTCCAGTAACATGTTTTATAAGAGCTGAAACAGTGACAACAAAACACTGAATAAGTCCTGTAATGCTAAAATAAAGACTTTCCCCGGCAACTTTCAACTAGTAACATGAATTTACTGCAAGATAGTAGTGTGCTGTGTATAAAATGTTTATTTTGGTCTGATTCTTTTAAATTTAAGGATGAGGGAAAATTCAACGCAGGAGCAAACAGTTAAAAAATCCAGATTAATTTTACTTCATACAAATTTGCAGATTGAATCATCCACAGCATATTTAGAGCCAGAGAATCTAAATTTCTGTATAAAAGGGACAAGGTTGGAAACCGGCTCTGGATGGCTGTAAACTTTGGGCCCTCAGGTGACACTGCATTAAAACCAGACTTGACTCTGTAGTGGAAACCACCACACAGGCTCAAATCACTTCCAAAAAACACAGTGTGTCATTGATTTAAAACCTAATAGTTTTTTTTTTTTTTTTAAACAGCATTTAAACAGCTTTCCAGTATTTTTGGATTTGAAGTTCTATCTTGGGCATTTCCAGAGTTTTATATTCAATCTCCTGATTATGAGTTCTATTTAGAGTTAGTTCAAATGATGAAAGTCTTTGTGAAAATCATGAAAACTGCTATTTTAAACTTTATTAAGTTTTGTTTTACTGGTTTGCCTACACCTTTCCTGCAGAGAACCCGTGGCGCTGTGATTGCGCTCTCGGCTGGCTGAGGACTTGGATCAGAGAAGATGGACAGCGTCTTCTGAGCTCTGCTGAACAACGTCGGCTGATGTGCTCTGAACCCCCTCGTCTTTCCCACCTCAGTCTGGTAGAAGTTGCCCCAAACAGCCTGGTCTGCATTCCCCCTGTGGTGCAGCTGGAGCCCAGTCACTTGACAGTGCGGCTAGGTGAAAGCCTCAGAGTCTCCTGCCAGGCCTCAGGGTACCCTCAGCCTCAGGTCACCTGGAAGAAAGCCTCCTATGGCAAACCACAGTTGTCACCTCGAGGCCTGGTCCAGGAGCTTGGACCAAATGGTGAGCTCTTCAGGCCTGGACCTGGAGGAGTGGTGACAGCCCTGCCCAGTGGTGGAGGGATGAAAGTCCGAGGTGTGGGGGGGATCCAGGGTCCTGTGCGTGGGACAGAGGAGGGTGGTGAGAGAGATAGCTTTGATCCAGACATGGGCAGCGGTATGCTTTTTCTGAGTAATGTCACTGTAGCGCATGCTGGGCGCTATGAGTGTGAAGCCTGGAATCCTGGAGGTGTAGCTAAAGTCACTTTTCACCTGGCTGTCAACATGTCCTCGTCCTCATATTCGTCTCAGTTCTGGCCTCGTTCAAACACACACTCCTTTGTCTCCTCCTCTTCAAACTCCTTCTATCAGCCGGAGGTTCTGGATGTCAGCCAGGAGCCGCTTTATGAACAGGACAGCATGGACTTCAACGCTCTTGGACCTGCAACCCAGACAGCCATTGCTGTTGGTATCTCCCTGCTTGCACTCACGGCCGTTCTCCTCTTGATCATGATTTACACTCGTCACCAGCAGATCCGCAAAGAGGAAGGCGGTTCCTTCTGTACCAGCAAAGAAGAGAGCATCCTCTATGTCAATGACTACTCTGATGGACCGACCACTTTTGCGCAACTTGAGGAGTACCGCGACGACCACGGCCATGAGATGTATGTACTCAATAGAACCAAGCCTGTACTGGGCTCCACGTCCTCCAGGTGTCCCATGATGAGTGGGTTTGCCCAGCAGAAAGGTATGAAAGAGGCTCTCCTGGACCATGAAATGGTGCAGACACTGACCAGATCGGGAGGGATGGGGCTTCGTAGAAACCCAGCAGATGGTGGTGAAGGACCCCTGACAACAGACCCAGAGGAGCTCTTCCTCAGTCAGAGCCTCCTCTTTGGATCACAGGTTGCCTATGAAATCCACTGCTAAGGAGGTTTAATTGAATTCGGACATGAAACACATAATTATGAACTTAATTAAAGACAAATCTTTGGTGCAATGGTTGAGGAATCACATAATTATGTTGTCCTCAACAAAAAAGGAAGCATTAGTAAGGGGTTGCCAGGAGGAACCTGGATCAGACTGTTTGAGATCCCTTTATGATTGTTCGTAATTATATTTAAATTCAAAGGGATGAACAGTGGAAACAAAAGGGAAAAAACAGCCAAACCATACCTTTCTGTGTCCAAGTCAACCCTTTAAAGACAAATCCAAGTGGCTAACATGACAAATGGTTAGGCTGAAACTGTGCAGCACATAGAGGCAACTAACAATATGGATTAAACACTGGTTCATATTTTGTACCAATTATTTTCCTTTGGTTTTGTTTTGGGTGTTTTGTCAGTGTTTCGTGCAATATAATAAATTTCACTGTGAAGTACAGTTGTTTTGTGGACCCTGTTGCAGATCCCATTATAAATAGACCTAAACCGATCCTCTTACTGAAACAGCATTGTCATTACCCTTGTGTATGAGTGGGCGAGGGTGGGTGGACTTAATTAAAAAGACTCATTTCAAATGCAGCTACAAGTCTTTTTTTACATTTATAACATAACATTGTGTTCCTTGATGTTAATGTCATGTTTTTCTACTTATTTGTTGCAACAATATAAAAAGCGATTAACATTTCTGTTGTCTGAAATTAAATCTATGGTGGAATTAATTTTGTTGACATGAGTCTGTAACAACACTACTAAATGTGACTGTTGTACATCTTTGGTTTCTCCATAATAAAATGTATTTTAAAAGATCCAGTGTTTCTTTTCTAGCAAGAGAAACTAACACTTATATGCATTTATTACATTTGTCAGGAATTCTGAGTAATATGTAAGATATCTATTAAAATGAATCATAGAATAAGCTTAAAATATACAGTATACCTAAGGGAAACATGCTCAGCTGAAATACTGACTTCTCTAAAGACGATGCAGCAGCCAGAATATCTTCTTCAAAGTTGTGATTCTTGAACTAAATGGTCTGTTTTTGTTTTTGTTTTGGCAGACAGTTTTAAGGCACCCCCACACAGCCGTTTCGGGCAACACTTGGGTTGCAGATATCAGTTCATATCAGTCCAGACAGCTTTATACATCCCAAGGGAGCAATTTTGTTTTGGCAGTCTACTCAGACCATACATACAGTACATTAACAAACAACCCTTGACATGTACATAAGACATGAGACCAGCTATGGGCAAGCAAACCGGTTCTGTTATACCTGTAACTGATTTTACCCAACCCAAACCAGCCTCCGCCTTTTCCTAAAAGCTTCAAACCAAAAACATGGAAATACTGACTTGAGTATTCAAGATCCTTTAGAAAAATGCAGAGACTAGAGAACAGAAAGGTTTCATGACAGATGCAGAGCAGGAAAGTTACTTCAGATCAGCAAAAGCTGTCTGCTCTTGCTCAAGTTGCCTGTGATCTGTCTTATCATGTAAAAGCAGGGTTTGAATCTGTACTCTTCCTCAGGTAAACAACCTCCAGATCCTAGTGATTGGGATTCAACCCCTTTTTAGTGACACAGACTTTTTGGCCCAGCAAGAACCAGTCTGAGTTGTTTACAAATTTTAAAGGAAGTGTTAAAGGTTACGGTGGTTCATTTAAGAAATGTAATAGTCACGTTAAACTAAATTAGAATAACAATCAAAGATTAACAGAATATTAAGCCCGTGTCCAGCTCTGCTAACAGCCAACATCTACAGTTATTAAAAAATGACCAGAACTGGTTCATTATTTGCAAACAAGTTCATTGTAAAAACATAAAGAAACTCACCAACTTGTGTTTTTCATGTTTCTTGTCTGTGTCATGGCAACCTATGTAGCATTAACTCCAGGGATGAGTGGGTGGGGGAGACAGCGCTCTCTCTCTTTTCCTAATTTTTTTTTAATTGGGCCGCAGTACCCATTTTAAACATGAGGAGTCCAAACTACTTCTTTAACATAATTGTACTGAGTTAGGGATATAAACAGGCAGACGGTCTATGGTCTGGACTGTTTAAATAGCATGTAGAGCCTCTCAAATCAAAGTGCTCGACACATACCCAGAAAAATAAATAAATAAATAAAAAATAAATAAACCTTTTATCATGTTGTCGTTATCATACATTTGCAAGAACAAAAGTGTCTGAATGGCAGTGTGAAACAAGAGGTCCTTCAGACAAAAGTGTAGTTTGATTTCAGCAGTGTAGTATTACAGTGGTGAGAGGCTAGTACCACTGAGACCATTGCTTCATGTGAGCCCATCATCCTTTGCTCTTCTTGGTGCCTAAGCTTCAAAATGGTGAACACCGGCATTAGTGGAAGGTAGTATAGACAATTTTTGAACTTGTGGATTCTCCTGTGGCTCCAGTATGTGAAGGGATTTTGGTTTTACTGTGCCAAAGAGAAAGGAGACAAAGTGAAAGACAACGCAAAATACCATGCACTGCTTTAATCTATACATCAGGGAATATGAGTAATATGATGTTATTTGGCTAATCTTCACTTGAGAGAGTTTAAAGAATATTTGAGAAGAAAAAAAAGCTAAACTCAAAGACTCTAAAGAAATGTTTTCAACCTTTTCTGGCTTGTGACTCCAACTCCGGTGTCCCCAAACATTCAAAGACACACCACAACAGGGTCAACGAGGAAGAGGTGTGGGCATTTTCCATGAGGTCACAGAGAAATTGTTGCCACAGATGTGAAGTGTGGGTTTAGTAGTCTTATGAGATTGTGTATTGTGCGGGTTCAGAGGATTATAGCATAAAGGATTTGGTTGGAATTGTCCAAGTGTGTGTGGTCTCTGAAGAAATTAAAATCGGCTGAGATCTAAAAGTAGTCTTGTGTATGGCCAGTTTGGGACACATTCAAGCTATTTCATGTAAATTATTTGGGCAGAATGGCCGTCGTGGTGACTATTGTCTCGCCAAATTTAATGGGACACCTGAGCTGGCACACCTGTTGGAGCCTTTTAACTGGTGTAGCAGACAGAGAGGGTCTCATCTGGCATAACACACAGTAGTGAACAGTACTTTGACTTCATGCGGAAGAGCACTGAATTCAGCCCCGCACAAACGAACAGTGTTAAAGCACACAGTGAGTGTTCACAGTACAAAAGTGGTTTATATATAGGTAGTCTGAAGCACAGTCTCTTAGCGATCTTATGTGGTGATGGAGGACTGACATGCACATTAGATTAGGTTGGTGCTTCAAGATATCAACTTTTTTTTTTATTAGATCAAAACAGGACAATATTCTTCATTTCCTATGGGTCCGATTTTCTTAAGGGGCACGAGAACATGATACAGCTGATTACAGTGTGGTGTATTTTATAGTTATAAAACATATACTTTTTATTAAACAATAACAAGGAATTTCAGGTGACCCCATATGAGTTCCACGCCATACCATGTAGGAGACCCTTCCCAAGTTTAAGTAGTCCTGGTTTGTGGCCTCATTTCCCCAGAACAGTGCGCCAGAGATTACTGAATATAAAGCCAAAAGACCAGAGGGAGATTTACAGAGGTTGAAACAGAGGTTTAGTAAACACACAGTCATTAGAGTATAAATTCCCATTATAGCCATGGTTGAGTCAAACTCCACCTCTCTACAAAAGGACTGAAACTGAAGTTAATACATTGTATTCACTGACTGTACTTTTAGATTAACAATGCATCTCCCTCTCCTCCCGCTGTAAGTGAGTGAACCCAAAATAAGAGCTACAGCTGGTGCTGACATATTGAGCTGGTGACATTTTTGGTGAGTGTGTCTCTGCAGTATGGATCGATTAGTGCAGCCACAGTATCAAAGCACAAAACCCACATTTGACTTACTGAGAAAAGGGCAAAGATTTATCGGGTCAGCACAGTCCACAACTGAACTGAACAGCCTCTTGTGTGAGCTTTGAGCAGAAATTCAGGGTTATGGATAAGTCAATCACTCTTGTACGAGTGTTTGTTACTTTTGCTCTTGTTTTCCTCACTTCACTCGTGCACCACAGTGCCTCAGGGGCTCCATTTGTCAATCATGAAGTTCTTGGAAAAATTAACACTGCAGCAAGAGCAAACTTCAACAATGGACACCATGTTTGGAAAAAGAAAGGTTGGTATGTATTTTGATTTTAAAGTGTGAACCATGTTCCATCTGTTAACATGGAGGTAGACTACATGACCTGTACTGTTGCCAGTTTGTAGTGGAAGCTCTAATGGGGCGCTCACACCAAGCATGAGTAAAATCATCTACTTGCTTAATTTGTGCAAATCTAGACACGTCAATGAACAGTATTTACTCATTTCATTCGTACGTCAATGGTTATTTCAACAGTAATCCCTGCCAGTTCAACCATTGAAATCAAGTGATAGACAAAGGCTTTTTATAATTTACCAGGAAATCTGACCTCCTCACTCACTTGCCACCAGGCGAGCTCCTTTTTTATTCTGGTTTCAGTAATTGAAAGAAAAGATAGCCTATCATATAATTCGGGGCACCCAAACACCGACACCGTCAGTTTGTCCTCCATTTTAGATACCGGTGAAAAACCGTCTGTTTTCATACGTCACCTGGCAACCTTCATGCTGATGAGCATCTAATCGCGTCTTTGCATCGACTTAACATGTAATTCAGTCACGCGAATGATTTTACTTGCGCTTGGTGTGTAGAGACAGTTACAGTTTTAGCATTACTTTATCGGATAACTGTCTGAGTCAGTGGCGCTCCAGGGGTAGGGTGGACTGGCTCTGGTGGCTGGCATGGGTCCTGTCCTCCAGCCTCTTCCGTGGCCCCAGCTGTCCACCACACTCCGGGGATCGGGTGGACTGACTCTGGTGGCATTTTTAAATGATGATTAAACATTAATAAACTATCAATTTACCATTTATAAATTATGGTTATTGTAAAGTGTTTCCAGAACTTGTCGTAGATGAAGAAACATTCATTACCTGACTAATAAGTGATTCCCATAAAATTACCTTATATTGTGCTCATGGCAAAAGGATATGTTTCCACTTGATTGCACAACAGGGTGGATGAAATGAAGAGAATTTGTAGTTACCTGTCTATAATAGAGAATATTACAGCAGTTCAAACTGCCAGAAAAAAAAAAAAACATAGTAGAAATGGTCAAGTGTGCTATCACATCAGGCATGGAAGATGATGCTGGCTCTTGCCAACTAGAGCTAACCATGGTTAATAACAGAGTTTAAGAAATAATGAAAAGTGACACATTAAAGGAGCTGAGGCACAGATTTCTCATTAATGTTCTTAGTACAGTTAACTCTACAGCGAGCCATATGTACATTTGCATTAAAAATATGTCTGAAAGGCAACAACAACACAAACACCTGGCACACAGCTTGTAACACTAACTATAAATCACAATCACTGATCACTATTATCGGTATATATCTGTAATTTTAATAATTAGTGCTGAGGATTTCTTGACAGTATGTATGTATGTGCAAGTTTTATTAACACTCTATCACCACATGACATATTTGCCTATGATATAATGGCACAAAGAAAAAAATATGTCTGAAATTCAAGCTGGCTGTCAGGCTATTAAGTTTGCTGAGAACTCTGGAGAAGATATGGCCAGATGTTATTTAGTTGATCCAAAAAAGAATCAGGGAACGGTGGAAAAATAAAATCTGAGCATCACGGCAAAAAAGCCAAACTACTCAGCAAAGGGAGGAAGGGAGCTAGAGAGCAATAAGCTGGAGCTCAGACTGTGTGCATGGATTCACAGCATGCAGGGTGTTCTGCAAGAGAGACAGGTTGAAGTGAAGAAAAATCTATATCACAGTGAGTGACAGAAGAAATGGGGATGATTTCATGAATGAATGCTGGCTGGCTTGATAGATTTCTCTTCAGGATTTACTTTTATATCTTGTTCAAACCAAACACAAAGAAAAAGCTTTTTACCCCCTTAATTTGCACATCCTTGAACGCTTGAACATTGAGTACTTTTCCCTCCTTCTCCATCCTCTCCCTGTGTCCTTAACTTTGAGCCATCATGTCTCCATACAGTCTTTTTCTGTAGACTTTTTTGCTGGTGTGGATTTGCCTGTTTTCCAGCTGCTTCAACTATGTGCATCAATCTCACCTCCGCTTATCTCTCTCTTCCTGCGTCTTCATCGTTCCCCTCTCTAATCTCAATGCAGTCCCAGCAGATGACTGTCTAACTGGAATCTGGTTCTGCTCAAGGTGTCTGCCAGGAAGTTCTTCCTCTCCACTGTAACTTGATAAATGCTACAGAGTGCTACACTCATGTGATTGAAGATGGGATTGGAG